ACGTCATCCGTGTGACTACAAAATAGAAAAATGTCATCCGTGTGACTTACAAAATAAAAAAATGTCATCCGTGTGACTTACAACAAAAAATTCAACAACTGAAAACAACACAAAGAAAAAAGAACACGAACAAATGATACTAACACTTATTAAAAACACATGTCGATCGGCCATGATAACCGGCCGACGACGGCCAGCGACCGGGAGAGGAAGGGAGGACGAGTGGACCGAACTGATTAGCGCGCTATCTTGTATTTTTAAACAGCGCGTACAATTATGTTATTGCAATTATATTAAGGGGGTTGATAGTTTGTTTTACATTTTTGTATCAGACATACCCCAATTACACAGCTAAATCGAATACATTACATTTTTACAAAATTATAATTTTTAGATTTGTTAATGTATATATTAATATAATTATAATTACCAATTTTTCTGAAATCATTTTATCATTTTTATTCTTTTCTCTATACGTGCATTTTTTTGGAATAATGGAATTTTTTATAGGATAAATATTTTTGTTAATAATTACTGCAAATTGAATATCATTTTAATAGGTATTAATTAAATAATCCATTTCAAAAAAGTTTTTTAAAATTAAAATAGTTAAATTAAAGTAAAGCGACTGAATTATTGTTATATATGAATATGAGAACTTATTATTATTTTTTCTTATATTTTATATTAAAAAACTTTTTCTCTATTCGAAATATTTAGTTTAATTATAAATCTTAACAGTGTTAACAGATAATTCATCCACTTTTAGTTGAATTATTTGATATTTGTCCTTTATTTGGATTATTTAAAACGTAATTGGAATGCATGAAAAGACGATTCCATATTTCTTCAACTCTGCGTATGACCTTATGTAAGTTTTTTTCATTTGTTTGACCAAAAATATTTTTTCACTTGTCATATCAATATTTAATTAAATAAATCTTAATATTTACACAAGACGATAGTTTATTTTTCACGGGAAAAAACGAAGTGAACTCAAATGTCGATAAAATCAACATTTACATCTAATTGTCAAGGAAACTTAATTGTAAAAAACCATTAAAAAAATGTATCAGCCAATTATAAATAAATTTAGTATAAACAATAATTTTTTATTTTTATTTTATTATTGGTAAAAGAATACAATGAATTATTAAAGATAGTGATAATTCTCATGATTTTATAATATTTAGTATGATATTTTGTTATGTTAGTTTTAGTAAACTTTTATTTGTATCATCTAAACGGTTTTATTTATTTTAGAACGGTATTTAATTATTCATATAAACGGAGATTATTTATTAGCATTTGAATTTAACCTAACTTAGTATAAAATATTTTGAATTATATTTTATATAAAAACTTATAAATATAACTATAAATGTAACTTAAGATGTTTTCACATGAAAAATTATAGATTCGCTCCTCTTGTATTAGCCTTATTCGAGAATTTTATGAGTTACCTAAAAAATCGTAGTAAAACTACATATTAATGATTTAGAATCGTACAGCTGCAAGTGCAACACGTCAAGAGTTTACCTGGCGTCTAGCGAAATAAATGATTGGAAGTGTACTTTTATCGCCATCCGATAAAGACGTTATGTACATTTAATTTGTACCCGCATTTTATTTCAATATTTTATTAAACACGTTATATTACTATTGTCATTAATATATATATTATTCTATGTCGTTTCGTGTATGTGTTGAAATAACAATATTTTGAATAGTTAATGTTGTATTTTGTAATAAATGTTTGCTAATTGTATACTTAAGTTAAATCTTCAGCAAATTACAATAATCAATCATAAAATTCGTCGCCTTGGAATAAAAAGGTTTTCTAATGCAAATTTTTATATATTCAGGAAAATTATTTTTATATTTTGGTAACCTTCATTAGAAATCTTTGATATTTTTGACTGATAGAATGTAGTGAAACTTACAGAGATTACAGAGGGGTTATCCAACAGGGCCGGATAAGGCATGCTAATCAGGTTTCAGGGGGAAATATAAATAGAAAACTCTAGTGATATACGATTAATATTTCATGTTAAATTAGTTTATTTTAAATTAAAATACATTGATTTTTAATGGAGTAGGCAAAAATGAATATTGCAAGTATTCGCAAAAATGAATAAATATTTAAACTTGTAAATTTGAAAATAATAAATTTGTCATTCGAATAAAACAAATACGAATCAGAAATTAAATGTATAATAATTGACAAAGTAAAAAAGTCACCATGTACGATAATTTCTATGCATAAAATTTAAAATCTGATAAGATATTTTTTTTAATTAAAGACTTTAAAAATAATGCACACATAAAAAATTATTATTATTTTTTCAAATAAAAAAATTATTTTAAATAGGAAAACTCACGTTTCTTTATTGAACAATAATACATATAAAATAAATTCCATTCATATAATACAGTACTCAAGATATAATTTGAATACATTGATATAATAATTATTAATTAATCATCAATATTATTAGAAAAATAAACAATTGCCATGCATGAAATTTAAATTGTGATACAACAATATGTATTAAAAACACTCCGAGAGCAGACTGCACATAGTAATTGTGAAGAGTATCATTCTCCGTTGTCGAATGGCATGATTTTACGGAACTGAGGTTTGACAGGCTGAAAAGTATACAATATAAATGAAAATAAAATCCAAGATAACTAACGAAAAACTTACAGTAACATTTTGGAAAAATCACATCGTGCGAACGACAAAATTGAAAATTTTGTAGCTTTACTAGAAGCTCCGTATAATCTAAAATTTATAAATCATATTAATTAATACGGTCACAACTATAATGCGAAAAAAAAAAGATTTAAATATTTCATTTGCTGTACAATTGTCAATTACACATTTTAATAAATAATCACGTCATAGCCATTATAAATTCATCAAAAAAATATACATATCAACTACAATTGCTGCTTATGTAATAAGAGGAACTCTACGCCACACAATTCAATAAATAATCACATAACTAAACCATAGACGTGTAAATAAATAAATGTATACGTACAAAAAAATTAAAAACGCTTGGATCGTATTGGCCGCTGCAGTATCTATTATATTGTAATCAACAATAAATATAAAAAAACGGTAGCGCAGTGGAGTCGAGCACAGTGTGGACTAGGCATAGACGGGACGAATATTGATAATACCTAACAGTGATTAAAATCACTATCATAAAAAACGCTTCGATGCAAATCTATAGATAATGTTGAATTCTAAGAAATTGGTGGATAATTACAAAAGCAACTTCAAATTCTATTTCCTTAATTATATCCAGATTAGTAATTCTTTTACTTATAAACTATATAATTTTTATAATTAATTGTTTTCAAATTATTATTGATTTTAAATATGTTAAAAGTTTAATAATTTTTAATCTACTTTTGTCCTTTAAAGTGAAAGTTTATAATAAAAAAAAAAATTACAATAACTTTTAGATCAATTTGCAAGTTTGAAATTGACATCATTAAATAGAAAAAATGGTATTGTTAAGATTAATATGCAATCAGGAAATTTTATAATTACTATTTACAGTAAATTTTTTATTTCATCCATTGTTAAATTCAGGTGAAACTAAAAATCATTTTAGTTTCGATGCGAAGCTGAGAAGGTATTAATTTTACTATGATGTGTTTTTTTTTTTTTTTATGTCTGTTGCCACTTTTTTTCAACTCTTACTGGACCGATTTCTTTCAAAAATACGTCAAAAGATCACAAATCGTATCTAGTTGAAGACATTACCCTTAAAAATTGAAAAAAATTCCCTCGTTCCCCGCAAATGGGGGAAATATCCAAAAAAATTACAAATTTAAAAATCGCTAATTTTCAAAATTTTTTCACTTTTTTTTCTTAAAACTTCCATAACTTTTTGAAAAATCAACAAATCAACATAATTTTTTTTTATACTAAAACCTTAGNAAACTAAACAAATCAAAATATTTTTTTTTTATACTAAAACCTTAGATATTTTCCTTTTATTTGATATCATTTTTTTGAAAATCTAACACTTAACATGTTCATTGGGGGGGATTTAAAATAGCAACTTTTTTACAAAAATTAACTTTTTCAACTTAATTTTTGAAAATGTTCCGGAAATACTGCGTCCTTTAAACATATATCAAATTAAAGCTTTTTTTATGTACTATAAAATGAAAAAAAAAAATTTGTCCCGACACCTTATCTTCTATGTGCAAATGGCAGTCGAAATTATAAAAAAAATGTAATATTTGCGATAAAAATCACCTTTTATAACGATGTTTTTTGTACTTAAAACTGCCATAACTTTTTCAAATATTAACTAATCAAAATAATATTTCTTTATATTGAAACCTTAGGTAATTTTCTTTCATTTGATATCATTTTTTTTTGAAAATCTAACACTTATTCTGCTCACAGGGGGGATTTAAAATAGCAACTTTTTTACAAAAAATAACTTTTTCAACTTAATTTTTGAAAATGTTCCGGAAATACTGCCTCCTTCAAACATATATCAAATTAAAGCTTATTTTATGTACTATAAAATGAAAAAAAAAATTTGTCCCGACGATAGTACAGTGGGGTCGCGGCATAGTGGAGACATTACATAGTTGGATCCAGTAGATTTAATCTGACAGTGATTAAAATCACTATCATAAGAAACGCTTCGATGCAAATCTGTAGATAGTGTTTAATTTTAAAAAATTGATGGATAATTGCAAAAGTAACATCAACTTCTATTAAAATAAAATACAAAATCCATAATTTTAATACAAAAATAGCATATTTTTGAATACGGTAGCCATTTGCGCATAGAAGATAGGTTGTCGGGACAAATTTATTTTTCATTTTAGAGTACATAAAATAAGCTTTAATTTTATATATGTTTAAAGGACGCAGTATTTCCGGAACATTTTCAAAAATTAAGTTGAAAAAGTTAGTTTTTGTAAAAAATTTGCTATTTTATATCCACCTTGTAACCAGAATGAGTGTTAGATTTTCAAAAAAAGTGATATGAAACGAAAGGAAATTACCTAAGGTTTCAATATAAAAAAATATTATGTTGATTTGTTAATATTTGAAAAAGTTATGACAGTTTTAAGTACAAAAAACATCCTTATAGAAGGTGATTTTTATCGTAATTATTACATTTTTTTTAAATTTTGACAGCCATTTGCACATAGTAGATAAGATGTGCGGGACAAATTTTTTTTTTTATTTTATAGTACATAAAATAAGCTTTGATTTGATATATGTCTAAAGGACGCAGTATTTCCGGAACACTTTCAAAAGTTAAGTTAAAAAAGTTCTATTTTTTATACAATGTTTCAAGTTTTGACCCCCNAAGATCTATGTTTTTTACAATATTTTAAGTTTTGAACGCCCCCTATCTGTGGGGAAATTGTCCAATTTTAATAAAAAGTATGTCAAATGAAAGATGTACTTATAATGTATTTAGAAAAAAAAATTTGTTGCTGATATATACATTTTTCAAAAAGTTATAGCATTTTTAAGTTGAAAATTTAAAATCGAAAATCGAAAATTTTAACACAAAAATAGTGTTTTTTTAACTACGGCAGCCGTTTAAATGTAGAAGAAAAAGTGTCGGGACAAATTTTTTTTTTTCATTTTATAGTACATAAAATAAGCTTTAATTTGATATATGTTTAAAGGACGCAGTATTTCCGGAACATTTTCAAAAATTAAGTTGAAAAAGTTATTTTTTGTAAAAAAGTTACTATTTTAAATCCTCCCAGTGAGCAGAATAAGTGTTAGATTTTCAAAAAAAATTATATCAAATGAAAGGGAAATATCTAAGGTTTCAATACAAAAAAATATTATTTTTATTTGTTCATTTTTGAAAAAGTTATGGCAGTTTTAAGTACAAAAAACATCCCGATAAAATGTAATTTTTATCGCAAACATTACATTTTTTTTTAAATTTTCGACAGCCATTTGCACATAGAAGATAAGATGTCGGGACAAATTTTTTTTTTTCATTTGATAGTATATAAAATAAGCTTTGATTTGATATATGTTTAAAGGACGCAGTATTTCCGGAACACTTTCAAAAGTTAAGTTAAAAAAGTTCTATTTTTTATACAATGTTTCAAGTTTTGAACGCCCCCTATATATGGGGAAATTGTCCAATTTTAATAAAAAGTATGTCAAATGAAAGATGTACTTATAATGTATTTAGAAAAAAAAATTTGTGCTGATATATACATTTTTCAAAAAGTTATGGCATTTTTAAGTTGGAAATTTAAAATCGAAAATTTTAACAAAATTATCATTTATTCTTCTATTTTTTGCTGTACAAATGATTATAAATGAATTAATACCGCAACAAAAAATCATTATTTATTATATTGTTTTTAATTTTTCTAGACATGGAATTTGGAAATAACACCAGTAGAAGAATCTGATGCAGGCCTTTATGAATGTCGTATCGCTACACACCCAACAACAAGCATATTTATTCATCTAAAAGTTACAGGTACGTTCAATTATTTTATTTCAAAATTAATTATTAAAAAGATTTGCATACTTTTTATGTTAAAAAAGCTTCGAAAGCGTTAAAACAAATGATGATGAATTCTAAAAACGTTAATTTCAAAAATATATAATCCAATACTTTAAAAATATGTTAAAATATGATGTATGCAGAGGTGTCGTGGAGCGTATACGCGGGTATACGGCGTATACCCAAAGGCGTAAAGCATTTGAGTAAATGTATTTGAATAAAAGTATTCAAATACTTTCATTGGTATTGAATAGTATTTTTAAATACATTTAATAAAAATTATCTGAGTAGTATTTTAAATACAATTATTTAGTATTTAATACTGTTTAATATTCAATACTATTAATATACTTTTTTTTTTAATTTGCTAACCGTAACACAGCAAGCAAATTAAACTCAGTCAAAATGAAAATTGAGAATAATTTTCTGTTATTTTATATGTTACATTATAGTATAACATAATTATTGTGCTTATCTAAATGCTATTATGTATACATCTATTTTTAATACATCAGTTGAACCTACTACAATAGCCTATTGCAGGTTCAAATGATTTACTCTATTGTCAATAAGACATACTTTACAGGTTTTTACACATGTACTAATATTTATTTTTTTCACTGATTAGTCTCCAATAATTAATTTTATTTACCTTTAACAAAAAAAAATATCGAAAATAATAAATGAGTTCTCTTAATTTAAGAGTACTCAATATTTGACTCAAATTACCCTCTTGGTAATTATTTAGGTGGAACCTTTTNGACAAATTTTAAATAACTCTTATCAGTTTGTTTAATCTCTACAGTCATACCACATATAAACATATATCTGAAGTTATAAACACACAAATATGGCTCGAGACTATTATCATTTTAAAAATAGAATATAAATGTAAAACAAAATACTGTCAAAGTGTATAAATAAATAGGATAATGTTTATCATTTCACGACAATTTTATTGACAAAATTTAAAACATCGATCAGAAATTAACGATATAGCACATACTAAGTTGAAACTGAAAGTTATTGGGTTAACCTATAGCTGTTGAAATTGGTAATTTGTATTTTTCCGTAATAAACCGTTTACCGACCAATCTAGTATTTAATATATTACCTATAATGAATTAAGATAGTACTAACATGTACCTATTCACGTTTATTTCATTTATGTTTTAACGATTTGAAAACAATGATTGTAAGATTATTTTATTACTGCATAAAGTTTATTGTTTATTTATAAAAAATATAACAGTATCTAATAATACACATATCGATTATATGACTATGAAATTTAATTTATGTAAGAACTTAGAAGTGTCAGTAAAAATATTCGAGTAATAGTTTGGAAGNTCGATTGTATGACTATGAAATTTAATTTATCTAAGAACTTAGAAGTGTGAGTAAAAATATTCGAGTAATAGTTTGAAAGTTGGAAGGAGCAACTGGGAGGGTTATCTATTGATCAAATTACGACTATATCACTGTTGATAATGTATAAAATTAAAAGTTCAACAAAATAATTGTGAAATATTGTATGTAGAAAATATAAACTGCAATGGGGGGGGAGGGGCAGAGCCCCCCACGTTATTCTCTATTTATAATATAGGCGTATANTGTGGGGGGCAAAGCCCCACACGTTATTATCTATTCATAATATAGGCGTATACCCATAAACATTTTTAGGACTACACCACTGGATGTATGTTATTTAATGTTGATACTATTTATAAACACGCGCCTGTTTTTTATATTAAACCTACTGAATATGTTTAAATTAATATTGAAATAGAAAAAATTATCACATTAGTTTTTATCTAGAACAGTACTAACTTTTAATATATACATAATTTGAATTTTAAAATAAAACAAGCGTTTTAAACCAATAGAGATTTTCAACATTTCTATCACATAAATAGCAATGAATTACGATTTGTGATCTTTTGATGTATTGTTGAAAGAAATCGGTTCGGTAAGAGCTGAGAAAAAGTGGTAACAGACACAAAAAAAAAAATTATCACGGCAAAATTAATACTTTTTCAGCTTCGCATTTCGAAGCTAAAAACAATCATAAAATCAATGGCTTTTGTAACAATATATATATTTTTTTTTGCAAAAATAAAAAATTGCAACAAATTATAACTTTAAATGATATATAAGATATTTTTAATTCTAAATTGTATTTAAAAATATGTAATTATCCTTATTATTATAACAATTATCACTGATAATTCAACTAAATAGCGGATCCGAAGTATTTTCTTTAAGCATATTTAATGTAAAAATTAACAAAATATTTAATCCAAATTTATTATTAATAAAGACAGTTATTAAGTGTACCTCAAAAGAACAAAAATATGCATAACCGTAGATCAGAAATGATAAAATTCCAAACAGATAAATGATTAATCAAAACTGAATTTTTATTTTAAACAATTATTGCGATGATAGATGCATCGTTTAAGAATCAAAAAGTTTTAATTCAAAATAATATGAAACCTTTGATTCTTATTTAATTTAATTCGCTATATGATGAGTCTCCATTACAACTTATTAAAAATTTCAACTGAATCAGATTTTTTTATAAAAATGGCAGTTTTAAAATTCAGAAAAATATTTTGAAAATGTAATTATTTATGGTAGCATAATTTTAAGATTTTATTTTTTTATTTTTTAAATTGAAAGAGTTTTATCAATTTTAGATAATGGTAGGTACAATTAGATTAAAGTCGAATTTTTTTGATGTATTGATGAATAAAATGTAAACCCTGAGAATTTTCGTTGACAGATATTAAATAAATTGCACACTATCCTAAAAACAATCGAAACTAAAATGTATACACACCAGTTCCGAAAAGCCATAAAAGAAAAGGCAAGTTTAGCCGGCGTCGTAAAAAATCAAAATTACATTTCAATTGTCTCGATCATTTACGAAAAATTTATAAAAAAAATTTAGAAAAAATATGTTGCAGCGCATACAACAGAAAATTTATCTACGACTGAAGATTAATACAAATGAGCTCTGGTGATGTATAATTTCCGATAACTCGCATATCAAACTTGTTAGATGGACAGAGATGTCGAAACTTCTCAAGCCTTTAAAGTTAAGACATTGGAAATCATTGAAATTAAAGATAATGACTATGTTAATCTTTAACTGACCAATGTAATATATAATGATACATATAATGCATTAAATAGCTATAATATTTCTACATTTTGTAAAAATGGTGAAGTGGAGTGTACACAATATAATATCTGCCAACCTGGTCGCCGAAATAGCTTTTGACATAATTACGCACACAAACTTATTAATATTTTCAAAAACAAGAAAATATTAAACGCAGTCATTACACACCTATAGCTCAACAAAATAAATAAAAATGTAAAATATATATGAATACACATATAAAGTGATTTATTAATCATGAACAACTTAAATCGAAAAATAAAAATATATTGAAGTTGTGTTTTTATGGTTTCTTAGGCACATATTTTTCTTGCATTATTATTTATGATGTATTTATTATGTTCATCCTTATACCTTATAGGGTGTCTACTTTATTTTTTCAAATGTTAACTTACATAATTAAATAATTTATTTAATAGATAATGATATAATTGGCCATTCTAATGACTGATCAATAACAGCTTTGTGGCCAATATTTCGGAAGTTATTAACATCTTTAAATATGGAATGCATGAAAAGTACCACAAACAAAATTGTATTGATTTAAATAAAAAACACTGGCGTCTCGCCTCCAGTCATTAATAACTTTAGCTGTTAACATTAAATAAAACGTTAATTTATGATAAATAAACAACAATTTTTTGTATACAATAAATGAAAGGGTACCTTTTTCATTTTACAAATTTTAACATTTTATTTTGTGATATTCGCCGTTTTTTACAACAATTCTCTTATTAATTTCGTCATATTATTTTTGAAAATAATATTAACTTTATTTACCCATGTATATTAAAAACAAAAAAAAATTATTTTTTAGTGGCCAAAGCAAAAATTTTGGGTTCTCCAGATTTATACATAATGAGTGGTAGTAGCTTAAGGCTTGTTTGTCATCTTCGAGAATCTACACAAGCTCCTTCGTTCGTCTTTTGGTACCATTCAGACAGAATAATAAACTTCGATACAAATCGAGGACTCATTTCTCATATTAATAGCACTGAAAGCGATCTAATTATGCCTTATACAAATACTTCAGACAGTGGTAATTACACCTGTCAACGACAAAATATACAACCTGCTACGATTCACGTGCATGTGTTGCTATATAAGTTTTATTCCTCTACTATGATTTATCACTATTCTAGTTTAAAATTAATAAGGTATAAAAATTTACTATAGATTATATCTATTTTTTATATGCTATATTTAAAAACAAATAATTTCATTATATTTTTTACATTTTGTTACATTATAAAAATAATCTTGATTTACTTAAAGTTTAAATTATGACATGGCGAAGACATATCGAGAAAACTTCCTAATTAAAGAAATAACACTAAAATATACTCGTTAAATATAAAAATATAGTTTCATTATTTTTCAGTAATATTCCTTGGGACTTAAAATTAAAAATATTGTTATACTTTACCGTGAAAATCGACAATTTTAAAATTTTACAACCTAGTTTTTCAAATTTCCGGTCATTGCAATATTATACAATATTACTGACCTACCTAATCGTAAAACGTACAACAATCAATTCAGTAAACTCGTAAAGTTTTTATAAATTTTTTTAGTAAACATCGAAAATGTTAAAATTATTTTTAACCAATACGTAAGTGTGAGGACATTTAGAAAATAAAACGGAGTCATTGTCTCAAATGTTTGAAGGTTTTCAAAATATTGTGGACCTTACCCAACTCAATCTAATAAGCATTTATATAATTTTATTTATTTAGTTGATAACTAGGGTGAAATATGTTGAATGTTTTGTTTTATCGTTACTCTTTAATCATTTTTTTTGATTAATCATTATTTGATTTTATATTACAAATAATGTCATAAATTTATTTCTTCAAAATTATTCTTAATGAACATTTACCAAAAAAAAAATTATTTATTATTAATTTATATTTTTACTAAAAAATGTCAAGCCAGTTATTTATAATACTGACAAAATATTCCACAATTATGATTTTTCGTGCATTTTACTTTTTTATGACCCAATTAGAATATTCAGTAGTTTTTTTGATACAAAAAATAAACTTGAGTATATACTGGTATCAATACTATTTAATATTTATTTATTTTTGTTATTTTCAATATACATTTAATATTTGTTTATTCTTGTAATAGTTATTTTTGAAATCACCAACCCCTAACACAAGCAATAGCTTTATTTATTGGATAGGTTTCATGTGTTTTAATCATATTGAAAGAAAATAAATAAAGTAAATTAAATAAATATTCTTTATTAGAAACATAATAGTTTAATGGAGTAATAAAAATAAAGAAGTTTTATACTAAAATAATAACCAAAAATTATTATTTTTTTTTACTTCAGACTTAATAATTTAATTTGCAATAAAATAGAATAATTTTTATACGCCGAATTTACTTATAATTGATTAATCAAACTATTAAATTAATATTGCTAAATCGCATGTCTAATGAACGTTGTAAACGAATTAAAAAGTGTCGAATTAACCTCATGGAGAGTTCATTAACAACGCATTACTACCCATAATAATAGTAATTTTAATAACCATGCTAGGGCATTGATTTGCACGTGTATAGTATTATTTTATTACATATTTTTCAGCTGAAGCACCAGCTGCCATGCAACATGGTGTTCGTAGTACTACCTCTGGGTCATTTGCAGTATCCAATTGTGCGTAATTCACTTTAACATACATGGCAATGCAAATGTTAAGCTAAAATGGACTGATTAAAATGTAAATAGTCTTTTTTTAAATTTAAAGTATGTCATACAGATTAAATCTAGGTTATGTATAAAATGTATGTATGTTAATTTTTAATACGATGTAACACAACACGATCATTATTTAGCTTTGGGAGTTATTATCGATTAAAAAATTATTTATTGTTGAATTGAAGTTAATTTATTTAATTTATGTGTATCAGTCTGAATAAGTAAGAACTTTACCAAATTTTTTCATTAAATAAAGATTTTTTCATAAAAATGTATTCAATTAAATTAGAATTATTTTTATGAAACATAGTAAATATTAATTTCATTGTAAAAATAAATTATTTCTTAGTGTAGTTTTTAAGGGTAATATTCAAAAGTTAAATGGGAACCTATTATTTTTTTACTATTAAATAAGGAATGAATAAACTAAAATTTCAACTGGTTTAAAACCAGTTTTGTAATATTAATTTTTGAGAAGGTGGCATTTTAAATTTAGAAAAAAATGAGGTGGTGTTTACCATGACGAGTATATAACAATTTTACTTCGCTCCGCATTCCGCTCTTGTATAAATAAAAACTATATTGCATTAATTAATTTTTTTTAGTTCAGAGATTTTCTAAATTCATGAAGTATTTTTATATTTATTCCTTATACTTCATAAGAATATCAACTTCAATTTTTCTACCACATAATTAACTGACTTATTTATTAGATAGTAATCTAATTAAGAAAATTGTTAATAATGGATGATAGCAACTTTTGAAGCATTATTTCAGAAGTTATTAACAATTTAAAGTAATGAATGGAGGTGAAAAGTGGATTGTACTAGTTGTATAGCTAGAGATTTTTCATCCTAGATATAAACATTTCAATAACTTCTGAAATACTGGTTTAGAAGTTTTTATTGATCAGTCATTTTTCTAATTATATAATTATCTATAAAATAAACTAGTTAATTATGTATTTTTCCAATAAAAAAAGAAAATTGCACCCTTAAGGGATGAATATAAAAATACTTAATGATTGTTAAATTGAGAAAAATAAATAAATAAGAGAATCTAGATAGTAAATTATTAATATTATTTTTCGATTAAGTCGTTCAACATACTATACAGGAATTATCTTGAATAGTGGTGTAACTCAACCTTAAGGTGGCCCTTTCAAATTCAATATTTTTTATATTCAATATTACGTATATATATATTTTAAAAAATCTTGAAGAGCCACAAAACCTCGGAGCAACAAAGTATCACTTTGCCAGCTTTTTTATTGTTTCGCCACTGGGTTAATATTAAAAACTATTAAATAGTTACAATATAATTTGCAATATAGTACTATTACAAAAGTATTGTAATAGTACTAGTAAGTGTTATGTGACATAATTTATCTCTAGAAATATTATTAATACAAAAGAAAAACTCAGTTTTAATTTTATAACATGAAATCATTTAAAATTTTTATACTCTATGCACAGATTTTGTATTTTTAATTAAAAAATAGTAAAATAAATAAAATACAATATTTAATGTTCCATCAAATACTATAATTTTTCAAATTTATTTTTAAACTGTCCTTCATTTATTTATATTATTTAAATAATTTAGTAAAGCAAACAGACAGATGTAAGTAATATTTTTTAAAAATTAATGTACATGAATTATTTTAAGAAAACAATTGTTTCAAAAATTCCAAAAGTATAAGTTACAGTTGATTAAATTATATTTCTATAAAAGACTGCATAAATATAGTTTTTTTGTGCATAAAATGATAAATTAAAAATTTATTTAAGTAACTATGATAAACAAAATTGTTTTCTTAATTTTAATTATTTATCTAGATAAGAATGTAAATAAGTTTGCCAGTTATCAATTTGAATATTATATAATTGTCTGGAACAGAAAATTTAAATGCTATAAATTAACTACACTGATAGTTAATGTTAAAATGTTCATAAATCAACAGAAATGATTCCAACGGCATAAATTAATGCCATCAAAATAAACTAATGACATGTTATAATGAATGTATATTACAATTATTTAATATGATATGACTTAATTACAAAGTTAATTTTGAAGTATAAAAATTGTCTCGTTGAAATTTTATAAGGTTTTTACTTAATTTCAAAGTACATATGCATAAAATAATTTTTTTGTGAATATTAATTAACAATAATGTAAAACTACTTATGTTTGTTATTATGATTGACAAATATTGAATAATTTTGTTTTTATTAAAATTATTAATGTCAGTTAAATTTACTCATTATTGTAAATCAAGTATGTATAATTTATTACACTGGAAATTTACTAGTTACCAAATATGTATATAAAGTGTATATTTGTTAATAAAGAAATACTCAAAAAGCTAGAATTTTCGTGTAACTGTGTTACAAATCTTAAAAATTCATCCTTATCATAAATATTTAATTAATTTCAATTCATCATTTACTTACAAGTTAATTAGTATATTGAAGTTTTTTTTATTTTTCTATTGAGCACTTAATAATAATATTTTTACCCCCGAACAATGAGAACTTAAGCAGCACTTAATTTTTAAAAATTAAAAATTATACATAAAAAAAATAAAAGTTTTCATCTTTATAGCAAAAACTAATACCTTAATGGAATAACTATTCAGGTTCTATAAAAATTAAAATTCGGGTTAAAAATGTATTATAATAATTAGCATAATATCATATTAGAAAAAGCACATCTCCAGTTGTGCGGATGATCATACAAAATTCCATATTATTATCATCATCATCTCAGCCTCTATCCCAACTATTTGATGTTGGTACTATCTTACGATTTGACAGGTTTTTTACTAGCTGTCCACCTGATGAAATCTCATTTTAGTTGAAAGAACCACTATATGGGTAATGTGTGTTACTGTTAAAGATCCCGCGTAGTTATCCATTTAAAACGAACAGCTCAGTTAAACATCAGTACTAAATCTATGAAAGTATGATCCGCTACACTACTTAATGCTCCAGAATAATAAAATTTTAAATAATATCAATACAATTTTATTTAATACATTTTTGTCGGTAATTTAAAATAATAATTGATTTTTTTTATGAATTCAACGATTTAAAATAATTTGGGTTGGGTTTTTGAAGTGTCAAATGGTCAAAACAATTTGTTTATAATATTTTTTATTTTACGACACATTAATGAAACTATCAATCTTATTAGAATTAAATATTAGACTGGATGATTTAGTCATTTATTAAAACTTGTGATGCTTTTTTTTCTAATGAACAAATTTAACATTTAAACATTGGTATAAACTACAGTGATGGGGTTCTTGATATTCATTGAAGTTAATGAATCTAAAGGAGATAAAAATCAAGTATGTTGATTACTTTTTTTGATTCAAAATGAATAAAGTGAAAATGCAAAAAATATGATTCTTGCTCAGGGTTCGAATTTTTACCTCAAGCATTAATAACATAAGCGTTATCGATTCAGCAGCCGTACATTATATATTAGGTTGATAGATAAAAATGACAATTTAAGTTTATTGAAATTTCAAATTTATTTTTGTCCACTTAAAATTAACAAAACAATTTTTTAAAAGTTAAAATTTTCTATGCTATGTCAATTGGAATTTTTTTATATTAAAGCAAATTATATAAGCTTTAATTTTAGATATATAAAAGTGTCAGAATATTTCCTGAACATTTTCAAAAATTAGGTAGAAAAAGTTAATTATTTGTGGATAAGTTGCCATTTTAAATCGTACAAGTAGATAAAGAGTCAAATTTTTTTTAAATATATACCACATAATAGGTAAATACTTAATGTATCAATAAAATAAATTGTTTCTATTCATCTATATTTCAAACATTTATGACAGTTTTAAATAAAACGAATTGAAAAAATGTCGAAAATTATGGATTGTTTAAATTTTTAATTTTTGGGGATTTACGGGGAACGAGGGAAATTTTTTCAACTTTTGAGGGTAACAACATGGACTAGATACGATTTGTGATTATTTGACGTATTGTTAAAAAAATCGGTTCGTTGAGAGCTGAGAAAAAAAATGATAACTAATACATAAAAATAATTATAATAAACAGATCAGATATCATCTTCGTATCCAAGCTAATAAAATTTTGTTATAAATGGTTCCTGAAACTCGTATTAGACCCTCAATTTTTAATAATATTTAAAAAAAGTCGTTAAATCTCCTTCAATAGTGGTTCGGTAATATAAATAACTTTAAAATTTAGACTTTTAGATACTATGACGTGATTCTTATTATTAATTTATATCTTATGTTTATACTTATAAAATGACGGTAAATACATTTTACACATAATAAATCACTTTTAAATTGTATTAACACATTATTTTTGGAAATAAAATTGTCAATTTCATAAATTTATTATGAAAATATCTATTTAAATGAAAACATACACTAAAATATCTAATATTTATTAAATGTGTAGTTTTAAAAAAAAGTGTATTTCTTAAGAAGTCATACCAATAATAAGTAATTGAGATTATAATTATGATTTTACATCAATTTTCCACGCTAACAATATTTTTTATGATATTTATTAATATCCAATTTATAACATATTGTTATAAATCACAACCGAAAAATTTTGAAGATGAAGAACTTAAATTAGCATGGAAATTGGATACTGGGTATTTACGATTAACACAAAATTTACCATCTCGTGTGGATATAAAAGAATTTAAACGTATCATGACTAATGATGAAAACAAACCAACATCATTTAAACTACACAACAAGTCACAAATTATCTACTACAACCTTTATTGCAGTAACTTAAAGAACCTTTTACAATATATGAGCCTTATTGATTCATTTGAAAGAATTCAAATATTAAAAGAAAATGATAGTGTACTTTTAGATGAATCAATTATTAAACACATGCTAGCCCTAATGCTAAAGACAGAGTTAGCTGCACCCTTAGATCCTATATGGGCTATGTTAATGTATGCAATTTACATAAGAGAACAAAGGAATTATTTGGATGGTAACTTAGTTATACATTTTAAGGATCTTATACGAGTTATAATAGAAATTTTAAAATCACATGCAGAAATAGATTGTGACATAAATATTACCAACGCTATAAAAACAAATACAAGTGACAAAT